CAGTAGGTAGGTTTCATACCTACGCTGCCATGGAGAATCTGATTTCTAGTCAGACGCCTTAACCGACAGACCAAGGCTAAATCTGTTTGAAAGTCGAACTATTTCTGGTGATGTGCCATGCGTTGAAATATAAGTCCATTATATTTTTATAAATTTATGTACTCAATCCCCATATTTGAGAAAAATTTCTGGGCTGAGCTGTTAATTAAAAGATATATATTTCAAGCAAAACAATGGCCGTTTGCAGTAGGTAGGTTTCGAACTCAATCCCCATAATTGACAAAATTTTCTGGACTGAGCTGCTAATTACAAAAATTATATTTCAAACAAAACAATTTCCGTTTGCAGTAAGTAGGTTTCGAACCTACACTGCCATCGAGAATCTGATGTCTAGTCACCCGAATTAACCAATAGACCAAGGCTAAATCTGTTTGAAAGTCGAACTATTTCTGGTGATGTGCCATGCGTTGAAATATAAGGCCATTATATTTTTAGAAATTTATGTACTCAATCTTGATATTTGAAAAAATTTCTGGGCTGAGCTGTTAATTAAAAAATATATATTTCAACCAAAACAATGGCCGTTTGCAGTAGGTAGGTTTCGAAATTAATCCCCATAATTGACAAAATTTTCTGGACTGAGCTGCTAATTACAAAAATTATATTTCAAGCAAAACAATTTCCGTTTGCAGTAGGTAGGTTTCGAACCTACGCTGCCATGGAGAATCTGATTTCTCGTCAGGCGCCTTAATTGACAGACCAGGGCTAAATCTGTTTGAAAGTAGAACTATTTCTTTTGATGTGCCATTTGAAATATTAGGACATTATATTGTTTTAAATGTATGCACTCAATCCCCATAATTGACAAAATTTTCTGGACTGAGCTGCTAATTACAAAAATTATATTTCAAGCAAAACAAATGGTCGTTTGCAGCAGGTAGGTTTCGAACCTACGCTGCCATGGAGAATCTGTTGCCATGGTCGTAACGGGTAACGGGGAATCAGGGTTCGATTCCGGAGAGGGAGCCTGAGAAACGGCCACCATATCCAAGGAGGGCAGCAGGCGCGCAAATTACCCACTCCCGGCACGGGGAGGTACTGACGAAAAATAACGATACGGGACTCATCCGAGGCCCCGTAATCGGAATGAGTACACTCTAAACCCTTTAACGCGAGGATCAATTGGAGGGCAAGTCTGGTGCCAGCAGCCGCGGTAATTCCAGCTCCAATAGCGTATATTAAAGTTGTTGCGGTTAAAAAGCTCGTAGTCGAATTTGTGTCTCGCGCCGCCGGTTCATCGTCCGCGGTGTTAACTGGCGTGCCGCGAGACGTCCTGCCGGTGGACTTAGCCCGTTCACGCGGGCGGTCCAACTCAATCCTGCCGCGGTGCTCTTCATTGAGTGTCGAGGTGGGCCGGCACGTTTACTTTGAACAAATTAGAGTGCTTGAAGCAGGCTAAAACTTCGCCTGAATACTGTGTGCATGGAATAATGGAATAGGACCTCGGTTCTATTTTGTTGGTTTTCGGAACCCCGAGGTAATGATTAATAGGAACGGATGGGGGCATTCGTATTGCGACGTTAGATGTGAAATTCTTGGATCGTCGCAAGACGGACAGAAGCGAAAGCATTTGCCAAAAACGTTTTCATTGATCAAGAACGAAAGTTAGAGGTTCGAAGGCGATCAGATACCGCCCTAGTCCCCGCATAACAAGCGGCCCCCGAAAGAACTTTTTTCCGGAAAATGGCGGAAACGATGTCGGATCCGGGTAAAACGGGGTCGGAAACCGTCCCATTTGGGGCGGAAATTCGCTCCGTTTCTCGCTACGACGAACCGTTTCCGAGATACGGCGGTTTTTTGGAAAAATTTTCAAAATTTTCAAATCGTCGTATCTCGAAAACTGTGCGTCGGAGGCGAAAAATAAGCGAATTTTCGTACCGGCCTCGGCATCATTGACTAGGCGGACCGGCCGGCTCGGCGTGGGGAATCGACTGACAAAGTCTCAACCCCCCCCCCTCCAAATTTTACCCCCTCGGATTTTGTAATTTTTGAAAAAAAAATCGGAGAAAATGCCTTCTAAGAAGCGACCCATTTGGGGTGAAAATTTCGTGCGTTTTTCGATCCGACGAGCCGTTTTCGAGATTTCGACATTTTCGAAAAATTTTCGAAAAAGGGCCGTATCTCGGAAACGGTGCGTCGGAGGCGAAAAATAAGCGAATTTTCGTACCGAGCTCAATACCACGCGCGTAGAGTGGTGCGGATTCGTAACCACTATAGCCTGGTAGGTTTCCGACGTTCCTCCTATCCATTCAAGTTTTAAATTTTAAAGCGAGGTAGGCTTTCATTTTTCCCTTATTAAAATCGATCGATTATTTTCGTGATTTTTGCATCTCTTAAATATGGCAACGTCCGACGATTCTCTAACAGCCGTTATTTTACCCGCGAAAAAATGATTCACGATCGACGGACAGAAAACCGTTATAAAAGTGGATGGGGTGACACTGTTGCCAGAAGCATCCCTGCATTGTGATTTATATCGATTTTTATTGAAAAAAAGATCAATTTCAATTCAACGAAAAGAGACGGGATGCAGTTGAAAGTGTTTCCAGATAGATTTCGGCGATTCTCATAATTGGTAAAGACAAAAATTAACTCGCATCATTTTTAATAACTACGTTTTGCGCTCAACGTGGCAACGTTCGACGATCTTAGCGATCGTTATCCTAGGCGCGAAATATTAAATAATTGGTGGGGGTGACAATGTAGGTGGGATGATCTTCATCGAGATTTGCATTTAGTTTGTTTTAAAAGTGCACCCGAGAAAGTTAATTGTGATTGATTTTCTTTTTTTAAGGTAATTAAATATATTTCTATTGCTATGTGCTCCTACCCGGACATGAAGAAAAAGTTTTCGAGTTGCGACTATCTCTCGCTAATATATTTTAGTGTTTTTTTTTCTTTGCATTGGTTTTTACATCTCTAGCGTCATGTTCAATTTTTTAAAAATATACCGGTTATCCTTAAATTATTTCACACGATTACACATACTCAGATAAAAATGTTTGCATCTAATCAGATACAGGTTGTCCCATTTTCTTTACATTGGTTCTATGTGTTACGTTATTATATCGCTTCTTTTGAGTCAACGATACTTTCGTTTTCGTTATTTTTATTTCCTTCTTTGAATTTAAATTGTATACAGGACGTCGCGATATTGTTCCCCGCGGTAAATGAGTATTTCGATTTAAATTTGCTAATGTTTTTGCATCTCTGGCTTTATAATTTTAAATTTAATATTTTAAAAATATACCGGATGTCCTTAAATGATTTCCTACCTAAAATCATGCGCGGGTTGCGTAACTCTGTTTTTACACCATCACACGTTCTTCGATAAGGTAGTTTGCTTTTAATCACATACAGGTTGTCCCATTTTTTTTACATTGGTTCTATGTGTTACGTTATTATTTCGTTTGTTTCGAGCGAACGATATTTTCGTGTTGGTTATTTTTATTTCCTTCTTTCAATTTAAATTGTATACAGGACGTCGCGATATTGTTCACCGCGGCAAATGAGTATTTCGATTTAATTTTGTTAAAGTTTTTGCATCTCTGGCTTCATAATTTTAAATTTAGTTTTTTAAAAATATACCGGATGTCCTTAAATTATTTCCTACGTAAAATCATGCGCGGGTTGGGTAACTCTGTTTTCACACCATCACACGTACTCCGATAAGGTAGTTTGCTTTTAATCACATACAGGTTGTCCCATTTTCTTTACATTGGTTGTATGTGTTTCGTTATTATATCGCTTCCTTTAAGTCAACGATACTTTCGTTTTCGTTATTTTTATTTTCTTCTTTGAATTTAAATTGTATACAGGACGTCGCGATATTGTTCCCCGCGGTAAATGAGTATTTCGATTTAAATTTGCTAATGTTTTTACATCTTTGACTTTATAATTTTAAATTTAATTTTTTAAAAATATGCCGGATGTCTTTAAATTATTTCCTACGTAAAATTATGCGCGGGTTGCGTAACTCTGTTTTTACACCATCACACGTACTCCGATAAGATAGTTTGCTTCTAATCACATACAGGTTGTCCCATTTTCTTTACATTGGTTCTATGTGTTACGTTATTATATCGTTTGTTTCGAGCGAACGATATTTTCGTGTTGGTTATTTTTATTTCCTTCTTTGAATTTAAATTGTATACAAGACATCGCGATATTATTCCCTGCGGCAAATGAATATTTCGATTTAATTTTGTTAAAGTTTTTGCATCTCTGACTTTATAAATTTAAATTTAGTTTTTTAAAAATATACCGGATGTCCTTAAATTATTTCCTACGTTAAATCATGCGCGGGTTGCGTAACTCTGTTTTTACACCATCACACGTTCTTCGATAAGGTAGTTTGCTTTTAATCACATACAGGTTGTCCCATTTTTTTATATTGGTTCTATGTGTTACGAAGGACAGACGTGCGATCTGTCCAAAAGGTATTGTCTTTCGCATGTTAATATTGCACAAAAACAAGGCCATTGAAGAAAAATAACTTGTGTGAACTTACATAGTTGAGGCACTTTTCTTCTCTTGTCTTCTTTTTTTGTTTGCTAATTAGGTAGTCTTATTTGTGTATGAATTTCATACTTGTTATTCCAGGCTGCCTGTAGATATTTACCAGACCGCAAAGGTTTCAAAAATACCATTGATGATGGAAAAAGGAACCCTTCCTGTCGAATATAAAGGCAAATCGATAAACGAAATGGACATTGATATTGACTATCCCGAAGAAAATGAACCTAAAGGTAGTCATGCAAAAAGTTTTCTGTTTACTACTAGTTTGCCATTTTATATATATATATGGTTTCAGAGTCCTGGTCACCAAATGCGCCCACACAAGACAATGAAATATTGTTTGTGTGGAAAAAAGAAAATATTGAAGCGAATAAAGATAATAATATTTTTGACCAACCAATTCCTGAAAACATTAAGAAGAACGAAGATCAAGAAACTGCTGATATAGGTAATTCTCTATGTTTTTATTACTTTTACTCAGTTATACTGCCATAGGCATGGTTCATTAGAATAAGAGGTAAAAATAAACCGATGCGAGTTAACGAAAATTTAGGTCAGATTTGTTTTTAATAAATTTATTTTGTTACTGTGGTGTTGAAAAACTAATAATACTAGTGCGAATATAAGTAAAACAGTTGTGTGTTTTTGACAAAACACTGTTTCTTTCAGATAAGCCAAAAGTCTCCAAAGTTGTAAATAAACGATGTAAGTGACAAATACTAATTTATAAAATAACGACAAACACACCTTAACTAATTTTTCGAACACGTTTTATGAAAAATATTTTTTATTTTAGTATGGAGCGAGAATAAAGTGAATTGCATCCAGAAGGAGTTTGCACAATACCTCCAAACAAACACTTACCCACCGTCAGCTAAAATAAGAGAATTTATTACAACCTTTAACTCTAAGAGAAGTGTATCCGTCATAAAATCCAAAATACAACATTTGCTGAAGTTAAGAAAACAGTAAAAGTTTACATTGATTTTGACATCTTGTAACTAATACCTCGATTAATAAAAAAGGGTGTTTTAAATATACCGATCCTTTTTATTTAGGGGGCCCAATTATTCCAGTAGCTGACATGGCACACCAAACTGTTACCTTCTTGGAATGCAATTGTTTTTCATGCTTTTCTTTGGGTTGTCGGGGCTCCAAAAGCGACAGTTTTGTTTGTTAACAATACCCCTCTAGATGGAAGTGAGCCTCAACACTGAATAAAATGTTGTCCAATCCTCCTTCGTTCCAAAACATATTCATCATTGCCTCACAATAATTTTTTCGTAATTCGTAGACTGTGGGCTTTAGAAACTGCACCAATTGAATTTTGTAGGGATGGAACCGTAAGCCTTTGCTTAAAATCCGTTGCACACTTGAGCGATGAATATTCAGGGCCTGGCCATGTTTTCGAATTGAGCGCCTCGGATGTTCAGTCGCAGCACGTCGCACAATCTCAATATTCTCTGGCGTTCTGATGGACCTCTGTTGACCGGGACGCTTCTGATTTGCCACTGTACCACTTTGTCTAAATCTTTTAACCTACGATTTCAATAAATTGTTTGACGGAGCATCACGTAAACGCCGATTATTGTAACGGTTACAAAAACGTCGCCGTGCCGCAACATACGAATCGTTCGATTTAAAGAACGCTTCGACCATAAACGCTCGTTGCTCATTTGACCACTGCTCCATGTTGACCGATAACCAGCGCTAACCCCCCCACCCCCCAAATATTAAGTTGGATGTACAAGGCGCGTTTAAATAGTGAAATTTACTCTGAGTCACCCGTTATATATATATATATATATATATATATATATATATATATATATATATATATATATATATATATACACTTCGAACACTCGGAGAGCGAGCCTTGAAGATGCCAAATGAGATTTTGGCGAAACGTCTGCAGGATTCCAGTCGGAGTTCAACGAGCGAACGGATGATATCCCGGAATATATATATATATATATATATATATATATATATATATATATATATATATATATATATATATATATATATATATATATAACGGGTGACTCAGAGTAAATTTCACTATTTAAACGCGCCTTGTACATCCAACTTAATATTTGGGGGGTGGGGGGGTTAGCGCTGGTTATCGGTCAACATGGAGCAGTGGTCAAATGAGCAACGAGCGTTTATGGTCGAAGCGTTCTTTAAATCGAACGATTCGTATGTTGCGGCACGGCGACGTTTTTGTAACCGTTACAATAATCGGCGTTTACGTGATGCTCCGTCAAACAATTTATTGAAATCGTAGGTTAAAAGATTTAGACAAAGTGGTACAGTGGCAAATCAGAAGCGTCCCGGTCAACAGAGGTCCATCAGAACGCCAGAGAATATTGAGATTGTGCGACGTGCTGCGACTGAACATCCGAGGCGCTCAATTCGAAAACATGGCCAGGCCCTGAATATTCATCGCTCAAGTGTGCAACGGATTTTAAGCAAAGGCTTACGGTTCCATCCCTACAAAATTCAATTGGTGCAGTTTCTAAAGCCCACAGTCTACGAATTACGAAAAAATTATTGTGAGGCAATGATGAATATGTTTTGGAACGAAGGAGGATTGGACAACATTTTATTCAGTGTTGAGGCTCACTTCCATCTAGAGGGGTATTGTTAACAAACAAAACTGTCGCTTTTGGAGCCCCGACAACCCAAAGAAAAGCATGAAAAACAATTGCATTCCAAGAAGGTAACAGTTTGGTGTGCCATGTCAGCTACTGGAATAATTGGGCCCCCTAAATAAAAAGGATCGGTATATTTAAAACACTCTTTTTTATTAATCGAGGTATTAGTTACAAGATGTCAAAATCAATGTAAACTTTTACTGTTTTCTTAACTTCAGCAAATGTTGTATTTTGGATTTTATGACGGATACACTTCTCTTAGAGTTAAAGGTTGTAATAAATTCTCTTATTTTAGCTGACGGTGGGTAAGTGTTTGTTTGGAGGTATTGTGCAAACTCCTTCTGGATGCAATTCACTTTATTCTCGCTCCATACTAAAATAAAAAATATTTTTCATAAAACGTGTTCGAAAAATTAGTTAAGGTGTGTTTGTCGTTATTTTATAAATTAGTATTTGTCACTTACATCGTTTATTTACAACTTTGGACACTTTTGGCTTATCTGAAAGAAACAGTGTTTTGTCAAAAACACACAACTGTTTTACTTATATTCGCACTAGTATTATTAGTTTTTCAACACCACAGTAACAAAATAAATTTATTAAAAACAAATCTGACCTAAATTTTCGTTAACTCGCATCGGTTTATTTTTACCTCTTATTCTAATGAACCATGCCTATGGCAGTATAACTGAGTAAAAGTAATAAAAACATAGAGAATTACCTATATCAGCAGTTTCTTGATCTTCGTTCTTCTTAATGTTTTCAGGAATTGGTTGGTCAAAAATATTATTATCTTTATTCGCTTCAATATTTTCTTTTTTCCACACAAACAATATTTCATTGTCTTGTGTGGGCGCATTTGGTGACCAGGACTCTGAAACCATATATATATATATAAAATGGCAAACTAGTAGTAAACAGAAAACTTTTTGCATGACTACCTTTAGGTTCATTTTCTTCGGGATAGTCAATATCAATGTCCATTTCGTTTATCGATTTGCCTTTATATTCGACAGGAAGGGTTCCTTTTTCCATCATCAATGGTATTTTTGAAACCTTTGCGGTCTGGTAAATATCTACAGGCAGCCTGGAATAACAAGTATGAAATTCATACACAAATAAGACTACCTAATTAGCAAACAAAAAAAGAAGACAAGAGAAGAAAAGTGCCTCAACTATGTAAGTTCACACAAGTTATTTTTCTTCAATGGCCTTGTTTTTGTGCAATATTAACATGCGAAAGACAATACCTTTTGGACAGATCGCACGTCTGTCCTTCGTAACACATAGAACCAATATAAAAAAATGGGACAACCTGTATGTGATTAAAAGCAAACTACCTTATCGAAGAACGTGTGATGGTGTAAAAACAGAGTTACGCAACCCGCGCATGATTTAACGTAGGAAATAATTTAAGGACATCCGGTATATTTTTAAAAAACTAAATTTAAATTTATAAAGTCAGAGATGCAAAAACTTTAACAAAATTAAATCGAAATATTCATTTGCCGCAGGGAATAATATCGCGATGTCTTGTATACAATTTAAATTCAAAGAAGGAAATAAAAATAACCAACACGAAAATATCGTTCGCTCGAAACAAACGATATAATAACGTAACACATAGAACCAATGTAAAGAAAATGGGACAACCTGTATGTGATTAGAAGCAAACTATCTTATCGGAGTACGTGTGATGGTGTAAAAACAGAGTTACGCAACCCGCGCATAATTTTACGTAGGAAATAATTTAAAGACATCCGGCATATTTTTAAAAAATTAAATTTAAAATTATAAAGTCAAAGATGTAAAAACATTAGCAAATTTAAATCGAAATACTCATTTACCGCGGGGAACAATATCGCGACGTCCTGTATACAATTTAAATTCAAAGAAGAAAATAAAAATAACGAAAACGAAAGTATCGTTGACTTAAAGGAAGCGATATAATAACGAAACACATACAACCAATGTAAAGAAAATGGGACAACCTGTATGTGATTAAAAGCAAACTACCTTATCGGAGTACGTGTGATGGTGTGAAAACAGAGTTACCCAACCCGCGCATGATTTTACGTAGGAAATAATTTAAGGACATCCGGTATATTTTTAAAAAACTAAATTTAAAATTATGAAGCCAGAGATGCAAAAACTTTAACAAAATTAAATCGAAATACTCATTTGCCGCGGTGAACAATATCGCGACGTCCTGTATACAATTTAAATTGAAAGAAGGAAATAAAAATAACCAACACGAAAATATCGTTCGCTCGAAACAAACGAAATAATAACGTAACACATAGAACCAATGTAAAAAAAATGGGACAACCTGTATGTGATTAAAAGCAAACTACCTTATCGAAGAACGTGTGATGGTGTAAAAACAGAGTTACGCAACCCGCGCATGATTTTAGGTAGGAAATCATTTAAGGACATCCGGTATATTTTTAAAATATTAAATTTAAAATTATAAAGCCAGAGATGCAAAAACATTAGCAAATTTAAATCGAAATACTCATTTACCGCGGGGAACAATATCGCGACGTCCTGTATACAATTTAAATTCAAAGAAGGAAATAAAAATAACGAAAACGAAAGTATCGTTATTTCATTATATTCATCATTGCCTCACAATAATTTTTTCGTAATTCGTAGACTGTGGGCTTTAGAAACTGCACCAATTGAATTTTGTAGGGATGGAACCGTAAGCCTTTGCTTAAAATCCGTTGCACACTTGAGCGATGAATATTCAGGGCCTGGCCATGTTTTCGAATTGAGCGCCTCGGATGTTCAGTCGCAGCACGTCGCACAATCTCAATATTCTCTGGCGTTCTGATGGACCTCTGTTGACCGGGACGCTTCTGATTTGCCACTGTACCACTTTGTCTAAATCTTTTAACCTACGATTTCAATAAATTGTTTGACGGAGCATCACGTAAACGCCGATTATTGTAACGGTTACAAAAACGTCGCCGTGCCGCAACATACGAATCGTTCGATTTAAAGAACGCTTCGACCATAAACGCTCGTTGCTCATTTGACCACTGCTCCATGTTGACCGATAACCAGCGCTAACCCCCCCACCCCCCAAATATTAAGTTGGATGTACAAGGCGCGTTTAAATAGTGAAATTTACTCTGAGTCACCCGTTATATATATATATATATATATATATATATATATATATATATATATATATATATAT